CCCCCCCTCCCCCCCCCCCCCTCTCTCTCTCTCTCTCTCCCCTCTCTCTCCTCTATCTCTCTCCCAAACTTGTCTCTCCTCTCACTATTTCTTTCTTTCGTTCTTTTCTTTTTCTCCCCTCTCTCCATTTGATTCCCGCCGTAGCACCAATTTTATTTGGCAAAACATTGATCTACATTTTCCACTCTTCACCCAGGTGTAGTAAATGGGTAACTGGTATGAATTTATTCCTTGAATGCTCTGAGCGCCTTGAAGGCAGCTGGGATAGAACCAGAGTAACAGTGGTTTGTAGGCACTTTATGCATCCCCTGGGATGTTTGTAATATAAATGTAGCTATCATTGATAGTGATATTCTTATTATCATTAAATACTTCAATTTCAATTTCAATTTAATTTATTCATGTTTCGAACAAAACATTACAAATCAATTATAAGCATTTAAAACAAATGTAAGAAATACATGTTAGAAAGGTGTGAACACCTCTTTATTATTACGATCATTAGTATTCTTATTGTTATTATTATTACAAATATCATCACTATCATTATCATCATCATCAGTAGAAATAGTAGTAGTAGTTGGAGTAAAAGCAGAAGCAGAAGCTGAAGTATAAGTAGGATTAGTATCATCATCATCCCCTTCATCATCACAGTCATATCAATACTTCAGAAAGCGAGATGAGCATTTCCCAATGCGAACATGTTACATAAAATTTGCAAGGTTTAAGCCATCTTTAAAGGGAAAGTCCACCCCCAAAATAAGTTTGTTTCGATAGAGGCAGAATAATAAGAAAATCAGGTGAGTGAAAGTTTGAGCAAATTCTGAATGAAAATAAGAAAGTTATGAATTATTGAAGTTGTGATCAATCAAATACAAATTGGCAACTCTGTGACTTATTATACGAGCTCTCCTTCATTTGCTTTGTGCATAATATTCCATAAAATCATGTTTTCTTCGTTATTGATGACGGAATATATATTTGTTCCTTGCAGGGGGAGTATAGAAACATATTTGCAATTATTATATTTAGGGTGCATGTATGGTTGAAATTTTTCTTGAGGAAAAATGAAAATTTTAGATTTTTTTAGTACTGAGCAAATGGAAGTTGAGCTCGCATGATACGTCATAGAGTTGCCAATTTGTGTTTGATTGATCACAACTTCAAAAATCCTAACTTCCTTATTTTTAATCGGAATTTGCTCAAACTTTCACTGACTTGTTTCTCTCATTTTTCTACTCCTATTAAAACTAACTTAATTTCAGGGTGGACTTTCCCTTTAAAACTGAAAAGGTTAGATGGTGTTCAATATACTACATCCCCAGAGGTGCAGCTATTAGATAATTCTAAGGGCACAAGAAGTTGCCAAACCCCAGATGGGCAAATGCTTATATGCTTTTACATCAAATAACACTGCGATTGAGGCTCTAAGGAGACAATAATATATACAATATCTGATATTCAGGAAATGATGCACTTTTTTGAGGAAACCTTGATGACAGAATGAAAAGGTTACACTGATATTAATCTTGTTGCAAAGTACTTTATTGGTATATTGCCATCATAAATACATTCTACATGAAGGAAAAAATTCATTTCTAAATCATTACACTTTGGTTGCCTTGCTCACAAACTGAGCACAAGTCAAAGCTTATATACATATCTTAAATCACTATATACACAGTAAATTTGGTTCTTATCATAGTTTAACAAAATGAGTCTGTGAACTTAATTTCATGACAAAACTATGATGAAACTATATGTATCCGTGGTAAAGCAATAACTTATGATGTTGGTTGAAGGGTGTAAAAAGATGAAATAGGAAGGGAATTCCCATGAGATAAAGAGAAGAAAGAAAGATAAATGATGTACAGATAAAAGCACAAAGAAATAAACATAGGGCAAAAAGATGGAAAAGAAGGTGTAAAAGAGGGGGAGAGGCTTCGAATTTGCTACTGGTATGCAAAGATTATAGAACAGAGAAGGACAGAAAGAAAAATTAGGAGGGGGTAAAATATTTGTAGATTCCATATTAAGTAGGGGATGGGGCTAATAGTTTAGTCAGTGCAGCAATAGAAATGATAATATATGATAATAGAAAAGAAAAGAAGATAAATATATAAATTATGTCCTTTTAAAAAAGAAGTGGAGAAATAACAGCCTTCACAGCATAAGAGAAATGCAGCACTTTACTTTTTAGAAAGTACAATTATTTACTTTCCAGACTAAGTTCAATAGCTTCTAATTTTTTTTAAATAAAAGCTTGTTCACAGCAGATGCCTTATGGCATTATAATAAAATACTACAACATTACCAAAAAGAACCATTTTAAATGTATCTGAATAGCAAGAGGCAGTGTGGATGCAACACAAGCCCCTATGATTTTAAAATTAGTTTATCATAAAGTCAGTGTGTGCTTTAAAGCTGTATGAGCCCCCCCCCCCCCCCCCCCAAAAAAAAGAGGCTTTTACCATAATCAAATATTCACCAATGAGTGGATGACATTCATAGCACTATCAAATGCAGCACTTTACATAATGGAAACCTAATAAATAATTCATTTACTTTGAGATAAACATTTAATTACATGAAAATTATTACAATAAAAGCTGCACAAATCACACAAGAGGACTTCCACATATTGAGATTACTAACAGGAAATCATAGAATGGTTATGAAAGGAGTGAATGATGGAAATCATGATACTAAATATTACGTTCTTTGTCCACTACTGAATTTTGTTGTTAACAATGCAAAGGTTGATTTATATTCTGATAATTAAGACTAAAATTAAGACATTTTAGACCATGATCACATCTAAACTATATATCATCATTGCAACCATGTATCATGTAGGTACAGATCATGTGTTATACAATCAATCTCCCTGATATCTAAACTAAAAATATATCATATATACGGGATAATAGTAATTCATTATACTATCGCCAACTACAAAGTAAAACAATTTTGTTAAAATATACATCAACAAAATACCACAGCAACCATTTAGAGAATTTACAGTCAATGTTTGAGACATAAATAATATAAAAATATACAGTTATGTATATGAAAAGCTTTCCTTCTTTGTTATTCTACACTTGAAAGTCATAAAATATACAACATTTAGTTTGAATATCTCTTTTTTTTCTCTCATTTATTGCCATGTTTAGAACCACAGAGATATTTGACTATCTCTGAATGATGTTCTTTGTCAGCCGCTATAGCCATGCATCATTATTGGAATGTGGCTGTATTTGCAAACACAATATCCCTATGTAAGGCATGATTTTTACAGATAAATAACAAGATGGAAACTCCTATGCAACACATTGATATATCAACTATATTACCATCTATACTGGTGCCGGAAGGGTAATACTTCCAACGTTTTCACACAGAGTTAATATCCTTTTGACTGACTCTTTTGATATTGTCTACTGGTGGTATAATGTACAAGAGAGAGTCTAGCTATTATCTTGGGCTACCACATGTAACACTGTCAAAACTCTTTGGATTAATCATTATTGATACAAGTGGTATGATATATTTACAGCTTGTGTTTCTTATTGTGTTTGATTTTGGGTGTTAAGTCGATGCCTGCTTGCTTACATCATCATAAAAGAAACAAAAGTTCAAATTCTTGACTGATTCATCAAAATTAGAAATAGAAGATGAGTGACATTTCTTTCCCAAGTCTATTTGTGAACCAATATCAAACATCACACAAAACCAGTTTGAATCCTCTACAGGTCAGTGACCTCAATACTCTAGTCTCTATATCTAGACTTTATGTCTGCCCTAGGTTTTGTAGCACAAACGATTAAAAGCAAACACCATGTGTTCCAAACTTCCAACATTTAGCAGACAAACCCATTCTATACTATCAGAGACTAAGTTCTGTATGAGAAAACATAGAAAATGGAAATTGCAACATTTTGCAAAGATGATCAGTACTTTATACAACCTTCTGTTTTGATCCTGGTTTCTTTTACAAATATCTTGTTACAATGGTTGACAATTAATCAAACATACTTTTAAAAGCCAATGCATAAAACATACACACTTGTCTATTACTCATTGTACCATGTACAAAGACAAGCAGAAAACAACAGATAAACATAAAGTGAAATAACCAGGACATCTGGTTAAATACAACATGAATGGAAGAAGTCAACAAATATAAACACTATTAAAAAGATATGAAATACATAATTTTTCATTAAAAGCAAGGATAACCTTACATGACAAACCATCAATTGACTAATGATATTTGAAGGTCATATGGACCATTATTATTCCTGTGTATTGTAATATTCGATTGAAAAAGCATAAGCATAAACATAACAATACAAAAGAAGACTTTCATCTGGTAAGGACTTCATTTTGTTTTGCAGTGTAACACTAATTTGTTTCATATCAAGATTTCTTTGCTTTCTGAGTATAATTCACTATAGTTCACATTATTGTGTTTGGATTATTCTTTTCCAAGAGATGTATATATCATAAAAAAGCAGAAAATGAGAGAAAATATATTCATTTAGCTGAACATAATGAAGCCTTAGAAATCCAAATGTATTTATCCAGTGCCACAAACTGACAAAACTTTAAAATTTCAATATTTTGTTTACATAAAACTCAGATACCCTGTTTCTTACACTTATTGCAAAATAAACTTACACAGATAGGAGAGAGGGACAGAGGGAGGGAGGAAGATATATCTATATACTGTATATATAAAGAAAATTAAAAGGAATTAATTTTCATGTAAACACATCAGCATATCATAGATAAACAAATTAAAATGTTTCTAATTTTTGTCCAGATCTGATATGATGATACTCGTCATGAACAACATAAAAAACAAAGCAGTAGAGGGAGCTACTTAAAATAGGCAGCAAATTACAATTTATCTTAGCAGTGTTCACGCATGTTGGAAGGAAGATGACTATTCATCATAGAAAACCACTGCATTTTTGTTTCATTTTTCAACGGTATTGCATTTTAGACTTGGTTTTCATCTCTGCCTTTACAACTGAAAGCAAATTGACGAAAGTAAATGACACTATCTTTGAAACTGCACAGACTTAGAGCAGACAAAATATTTGAGCAGCACATGTTCACAGGCAGCATAGGGTATTTTTGGCAGCTTAAGGGTAAGCACATTATGAAATATATCAAATACTTTTCATATAGTTTTTTAAACAAACAGATCAAACTAAAAATATGATACACTTCAATGGAACTTCCACATCACAAAAGAAAGATACAAAAATTAATTAATTTCAACCGCATTTATCATTAGCATTTGTCATTCATTTTTGGAATACTATTTTAGAAAACACTGATTCATAACCATGTTGTTCTACAAAGTAAGCACAAAAGGCAAATTATTATCTTTGGTATGTCAACTACCTTTATAAGGCATTTTACATTTAGGTAGCAGATACTACAGATCGGTGGAAATTAGTGCACAATGGCAAACTGAAACTTGGGATTTAAACATTAAAAATCAAACATATCTTGCTACATTTGAGGAACCATTGGTAAAAAGCTTGCTTTTCTCTTTATAAGCCTAGGATCCAGATACATGTTAAGTCTTCTCATAAAGGATGTGATTTTCTCAATAAATAAACTTAAATGAAGATATAACCTTATCTGGCCGGCAATAAAATCCTTAAATATGGCCAATGTAATAGAGTTGTATATATAAAATGGGTTCAAATACTTGGGAAGTAAATAGCTACTTTAGAATGAGAAAGTTGTATTTCCAATGAGTTAAAAATACATTAGGTGGGCAAGAAAGTTTCATATACTTGGCAGTCATTGTAAAATTGAGTATAATAGTATGTTTGTAGTATTCATCAGTAGATTACCGTAGTGTTATTCATATGACAAGGTGGAAAAAGAACCTCCTTGTAGTATAGCAGTCTATGAAACCACACAGAGAAATAAATACAGAGTTTACTTTGTTCCTGATTCATATGCACATCTACTTCAATAACAGACTAGTCATTTGGACAGACCAAAGGTAAGACAAGACTAGTCTAGTCTATCCGGTGGGCAAGAACAAGACCAGTCAGATCTATATGGTTGACCACGAGCATGCCTAGGCTAGTCTATTTGATGGGCCAAGACCAGTCAGATCTATATGGTTGTCCAGGAACATGACTAGGCTAGTCCTTTTGGTGGGCCAGGAGCTTCTCTGAGTACTTGAGGTTAAGAACCCTTAGATCTAGGACTACCTGTAGACACTTGTGGAACACGAGAGCATCAGGAGCATGTGTAGCATAGAGGAACTTCTCTAGGACACCCAGAAGGTGTGTCTGGAGGCTGCGGACCTCATCCACGCTCTGGATACCTTTACGATCTACATGCAAGGAAAGAAATACAATACAAACAAGGGGTTAGGTGGAATTCAGGTTCAGTTTTAAATTCTTTCTGAATTGCATCACTTGAAAAGAAAGATTTATGAACGCATAAAGACCCAACAGGTTTGGTAGGGTAAAATATGCTCTAATATGAATTGTATTTCAAAGTGTCTATCTTAAAGAAAGAAAGAGTGTAAATGTGTATGTTTTGACGACATCAGGAGGAATACAATTTACACCACAATCTAAGCTTCAGGTTTGAACCTGTAAGGATACAGACCAAGTCAAATCTATGCAATCACAACATTATGAATAACACAGGCAAGTCAGATGAGCTAAAAACTTTCTGATAAGCAAAGAGGAAAAAGGGATTCCCCCTTCCCAAACCCTTTCTTCTTCATAAATGATAATACAATAGAATTACACAAAATCACTTGTCAACAAATCTTTTTAAATGGAGAAAGGTCTTTTGTCCAGCCGTTCTAACAAAGAGCAACTGACCTGATGCTACTAATATAGAAGCTTGTAACAGCGCCCTCTCTGGCAGAGATAGGTTAAGCTGGTTGAGTTGTGAGGCTATCTTGGACAATGCAAGGACTAAATCTCCAACATCTGCATAGGAATAAAGCAGGATAAAAAAAAAAGATTTCATTAAATCACAGTCACAATGACTTATCACAGCTAGTACCTAAAATACAAATAATATGGAACTACGGTTCAGGACTTAATCGTAGCAAGTGAAGCCCATGTTTACTGCCATCTTTTTTTCTCAGCTTTAATATTCTAATTTGATATTCATATATTTCTCAGATATTGTTCTGAGTGGTGATATGCTACAAGTCATCGAATGATACTGTACAACTGAATAAGACTTGTAGAGCTGTCTCAATGCAATGGTTTAATAACTAGTCAATGTGACTGGGTGAGCATGTAGGCAACCGTGAAACGTTGACCGGAATGTTTCCCATCGGAGTGTAAAGTGAACAGAATTATAATTAAATCCAGTAACAGGGCTAAGAATAATACTGTAAGCGCTTTGGTCCATTAGGTTATGTTGCAATCAACTGGTAAAAACATTTTAATAGAAAGTGTTGTTTCTGTCAGTCATAAAGACGGACGTTGCATGATTGATGACATACTAGGTGAAGTCACCAAGGTGGGTAAAACCAACCATACAGGGATTCCTCTAACATCCATGTTTCAATATAGAAGATTTAAAATACCCACCTGACTTTTGGAGAAGACCTCTGTGAAACTTCTCGCCATTAGTGAACACAATGAAGTCACTCTCTGGGTCCAGGATTTGACTCAGCTGTAGGAGCAGCACTTCAAAACAGCCGGCCTTTAACAGTGTCAGCTAAATAGAAAAGATAACAAGATATTTTGATTAGACAATTAAATAGAGGGAAAGCATTTCACATCAAATTAACATTTACACACAAGCATATTTTACCTTTATCCTGGGTTATTATCTTTTAAATTTGTATGAACTGAGTTTACATTTTAAAAGGGCACAAAAACAGAAGCACATACCATTAGCTAAATATTACTACAATAGTTCATCTTGTCATGGCTCTTCAACATATCATGAAAATACATTTTTATTCTTTCATCCCTGATTTATTCCTGATAGTTTCAAAATCCAAGGATCACTATTTCAACCTGTTTCGAATTAGAAAGTCTTCATCCAGTGGATAATCTCTTTTAACTAAAAACAAGATAAGAGCTCAAATACTTTTTTTATATAGGCCAATGACAGTCCTTATTTTTTATTTGAGTGAATTTTTCCTCGAATCCCCCTAACTTCTCTGTCTCCATTGGAGAAAGGAAACTCATTTTCCATGTTTTCCCTGATTTTGAGGATCTCTGTGAACCATGCCACTTTACCTGGTCTTCATGCGGGATGTCTTCAAAGCCTTCTGTAGCTTTGGCAAAGCTCACAATCCGGCTGATGATAGGTGCGAACCGATCACAGAATGCATCCTCTTTGTCTCCTACTGATAACTCCAAGGGTAGTCCGCATAAACCAGTGGAACCGTGCGTCTGGTAATGAAGGGAGCAAAATCAGTACTTAGGACAATAAAATCAAAATAGAAAATGCATAACAATCCGTTGTGATTTATATAGCACACAATACTACAGTATACCCTGATTTTGTTATATTCAGGTTTAATTACCCAGATCATTAGATACATGCCCACATACATTTTGTGCACCATTTGTAAAAGCATTGCTAGAATATGATTTAATGAAGGCATTCATACAAATATTTGTACAAAGCAACAACTAGAGTGATTTGAATGATACTTGATATCTTTTTCTTCTAATTGTGATTATGTTTCATGGTTAATCTTTCAAAACAGAGAGAGTGGTAGAAAAACTAATCTTAAATGGTGAACTTGACTTGACTTCAAAGAAGAAACCTTCCATGTAAAACAGGACAAAAATGATGGTGATAAGTAATTATGAAAACTTTATAGCACAACAAAAAGTGAGAATCTGAGAACCAAGGATTTTCCCATGCATCCTTAAACCATGTGCAAAAGATATATCCTCTGCCAAAAGCCAGGTGGATGTTAACTTAATGTTAGACGATGTGAGTGAACATTCTTTTAGCTGGCTCATGAGATGATAAAGCTTTAATTACATGGCATCTTTTCTCCTCTTACTTACCTCTTTGCCATCAGCTGCATGTAGATGCTGTTCACTGCGTAGATGTTTCTTGATGGCCACTCTAAGGATCTCTTCTAGACTTGAGAACTGAGCATCAATCTCTGTACAGTAGGCCTTGCTCAAGGAGTCTACCAGACCCATACCTTGCAGGACATGAAGCATGTGAGGATTATGCCCTCCGCCGAGGAGTCTAGGAGCTCTTAGTCTGTTCCTGTGAGTGGCCTCAGGGTGGTAGGACAGTCTGGTGGTATCCGTGCTGCAGCCGTTGGGTATCCTTCCATTCTGATATGGATTGACTCCAGAGTTCTGTACCTTGGAATGGTTGTAGCCATTCTTCAGGTCTAAGTGTGGCTTGGTATTGCTTAACCTGGCTTCAAAGCTGTGATGAACACCATTGTCATACAGTCCATTCATGGGTGGAGATTTAATACTCCCAAGATTCATATTCTGCAACTTCTCTGGCATCTGATGAAAATGTGGATTGGGATACGGATTCCCATGGTAACCGTTGGTAAGATTCTGGTGGTTTCTTCTCACTTCTTCATCGTGATGTAAGCGTGCAATCTGCTTACGTCGAGGCAAGAGATATTGCTTCTTGTCTGATGTCATGTGATCAAAGTCATGATAAGTAGGAGTTTGCTCTTCCTTCTTGATAACTGATGAAATCCTTTCAGTAAGGTGAGGATGATGTGCTGGGTAACCATGGCAATCATTTTGAATGTCTCTCTCAACCTTGATGCTTCGCTGGACACCACCCTGCATGCCATTAAGTCCATTGTTTGGGATGTAGCCATTCATTTGACCGCTACAGTACTGGGTCAGAAGCAAATCCTGGATGCTTGTCTTTTTCTCATTAATATGAATGTCTTGCACACCCTTCCCAAAACTAGAACCATTCCTTCCATTGCACTCACCCCATCTACCATTGTGTTTCACTTCTGCAACATCTTTTATGCTTGTCTTAGATGATGACCAATCAGGTTTACACTGCACTCTGTCATTACTTTTACTGGGCTCCCTCCCCACATCTTTCATATCCTCCAAGCTGCCCTTTACATCTCGTTCTACAACGTCTGATATTGCACACTGCTGAGACTCTGTGGTTGCTAGGGGCCCATCCTCGCTAGCAACCATAGCTTCTTGGCTCGGAGGTCGGCTCAGGTCAAGGGGTTTATCATCCCTGACAGTGATATCATTGCTCTTGTTTGATATCTCCTTCATCACCTGAGTCAGTTTCATCTTCTCTCGTTTGGACATCCTTCCAAAACGAACAGCTGGAATTAAACAAAATTCATGTATTTTTGAGTAAGGAAATTGTACTATGCAACAGATAATAAAACCATTACATTCTAATCAGAGAGTTGTTACTGGGTCGGTGAAAACGTCACAAAAACTTAAGTATCTACAAAATCAATACAATATGGGAATATATTTGTGAAGTATTACTTCTATAATCGTCGCATGTAAACAAAAGCTAGATAAATGGACTTGCAGCAGAATTTTGCAGAAAATTGATCAGTAAAATTATGCTTTTACAACATAAGAACCGACATACATCCCAAATAAAGCTCATGGAATATAAATAATCTTAAATAGTCTCCTCAATAAATCTTCATAAAAGAAAAAGGAAGGTCTGTTTCAAACAACTGGTACTAATTTCTACTATAAGAATAGTAAAGACATGCAATACTGTTACATACCATTTTTGGACATGCCCATAAGGATGCACTTCCTGAGTCGACATGATTGACATTGGTTCCTATTCTTCCTCTGTATCACACACTTTCCTCCATTCGGACAGGGGCGGTAGGTTAGGTTGTGCTGGACAGTTCTGCGGAAGAAACCCTGTAAAGAAGAAGGATGGAGAGTGATTATTACTATTATAGTATCATCTTCAATATTATTAGTTGATGTCACTATTATCCTTCTTTTCTTCCTCTGTATCACACACTTTCCTCCATTCGGGCAGGGTCGGTAGGTTAGGTTGTGCTGTACAGTTCTGCGGAAGAAACCCTGTATTAAAAGAAGAAGGATGCAGAGTGATTATATTACCATTATAGTACCATCTTCAATAGTATTAGTTTCTGTCATTTTTATCATTCTATTCTCTCTCTCTCTCTCTCTGTTCCACACACCTCTCTCTTAGGGCAGGGTCTGTAGGTTAGATGCTGCATAGTTCTGCAGAAGAAATCTTGTTAGATAGATATTAACAACAGTGAATTTTATGATCAATTTTTTTTCTTCATCATTTCTATCATTCTCTCTCTCTCTCTCTCTCTGTACCACACACTTCTCTCCATTGGGGCAGGGTCTGTAGGTCAGATTGTACTGTTCAGTCTGACAAAAAAAGAAAGATTGTGAAAGTTCATAATTGATACTTGATATAATTGATGAGTATTACGGTATTAAAGAAGTGTAGCATTCCAGTGTGAATATGTATTCTTGCTATTTTATTAGAACAGAAACAAGCATGCAGGGTAGATAAAGTTTAACATAATGGTTGTTGTTCTTTTACATAGCATTTGAACTTAAAAAATTACAACTACTGTTGATATTTGGTATTTGGTTAAAAATCAAGATTCCTTCTTTAATCTCATCTTTTAAGCAATGAATTACTTTATATTTCAGAAATAATCAAATGTAATAAGCAGGAGTCCAGCACATCTAAAACTAATAACAGCTAAAAACTTCTTTTGACAAGTTTCTTTTTTTTCCAGGTGCATTAGAAACCTATATTGCACATTTCCATTGAACAAGGTCAAAATAATTTGATTTCAGCTAGGAATACTAATTACAGAATGGAGTATAATACCATTTTCACATCTATGAAAGATAATATCTGAAACCCAATAGTATTTGTGAAAAGGGAAGGAAATGATTGTTAAGACCTTGTACAGGTAGGATTGTTATTTTAAAGAATTCCTTTTACAAACCACAGCAAAAACGGAACAAAGAAATTCTAATCCCAGAGTTCATGTCAAATATGAGTGAGTATGAGCCGCATGGTTGAATATCAAAAGTAGGAAGCTCTTTGTAAAAATGACCTCCACTTTCTCAATTTCTCAGAGATGTATTTTGTGAGAAAAGTGACCTCCTGGAGTCAGTAAAGAATGAATGGTGGTTGAAATAACAGAGTAATTGTAGAGATAATTACAAAACAACCTGCATGAGAGGACATGAATGAGGTACGAGATTTTGTGTTGTTACTGTGGTCACTCACTGGTCAGCTTGTCCCCCTATGACCTACTGACCACAGCTAGTCTTTGGGTCAAGGATGTTCTAATCAGGAAATTCAAATGGGATTGTAGGCTTTCAGTTTACATTCATTGGACATGTTTAGCTTGCCTTACTCACAATCAGCCCCCCCCCCCCAATAGCCCTCTTCAATAAACTCATCACAGATGAAATAGAATCACGTGCATTTGTAATGTGTATAAAGGAGGACTTGCTAACTGCCATATACATGTTAAGGATATGAAAGTAAATTAAAAGACGAATGAAATCAAACATAATTTTGGATGAAATAAAAATCATGGGTCAAGTTTAATTCAATCCTCTATATGATTAAAAGGAGAAGTAATTTCTACCACTTTCTTTCTTTTATAAAACATGGGATAAAGAGCTTCCATCCAAACTGACCGGCTGTGTGTTGGGTCAAGGCTGGACAGAAAGAAGGGGCACATGCAGTGGTCCTATCCCATGTATTGTGAGCTGCTGCTGCATCACTATACAGACGTACAGAGTGTTGAGTTTCAGATTTGCAATTAAGCTGGACATGACTGTTATTGTCTAATCCAATATATTTCACTAAAACAGGCAAAAATTTGAATAAATCATTAAAACTTTAAACTTCTTAATAAAATTGTGGAGGCTTATAAATTCCTTTCAAGAAAACTACTGTGAAATAAGAAGATCTCTGAAAGGCAAGAATTTGGTGTTTCAGATATTTTTTTTATTGGGAATGTTAGTGGTGACTGGCGAGTGTTGACAAACACTCAATTTATGAACCAAATCTCATGACCTTTACAAAAGGTACAGTTCAAATATTACTCAGGTGCTATAGGTACTTGTAATAATTAAATTACATAATAAACTGCACGTAATATTTTTTTAGTATAAGGCTTATAATTTAATATAAATTTTGTCTGACATTCCAGAGTTTTGTTCGAAGTTGCTAGACAACTACCACTAAACACACCGAAAAACCTGATTGAAAAACCCAACTCTGGAGTGTGTTTTTTTTAATAAAATGCCGGCTGAAACCTCACCAGCTTTTGCAGTGTTTAATGCTCACTCTCAAACTCCAGTGAATAATTCCTGATGATGATTATTTGTGAAGGACAAAATAGGTATCAGACAAACTGGGAATTAGACTAAATGAGAAATAGACCAAATGGGTAGTATAGACTTATTGGAGGTTAGACCAAATGGAAATTGGACCAAATGACAAGTAGACAACATGATCATTAATAGGCCATGTGGATAGTAGACGGGCTGGGTGCAGACCATATGGGAATACTGGTTGTAGACCAAAAGGCAATCAACCTTCTTTTTGTCCAGAATACATTACTGACAGAATATTGAAATGTTTTTAAACTGTCTGATTGTATAGACTAAGTATCATGTGTTGTCTGGAAGTCTAGTGGACATATCTTCTAGGTTAGTATGCTATTCTTAGCTCAATCATTGGGTCAAGGTGAAGTAGTGGTCAATCTACCTGGTCTGGCTGGCTTGACCACTGGCTAACCTCTCTTATGTAGTAAACCTACTGCATGAAATCACATGTATGCTCTAAATGTGCTTTATGCAAGTTGTAAAGCAAGTACATAGAACATGTACTTCAAATTTGAATAATAATGGAAACCTGAAATTATTATTGATCAGACCTTACTCTTGTCTAATTCTTTTAATTTTTCCACTGATAAGCCATTTTCAATTTGTTTTGTAACAAGTTTTTAGTAGGTGAATGGTCATTGGCCATCAAGTGTACTCTCAACTCTCCACCAATGATCATCATTCCCTCCTAAAAGACCTAATCCTAATAATCAAAAGACTATTAAACGGCACAACTTTGGGCCAATAAGCCTACATAATCATACATAATAAACACACTCTAAATGCAATGAAGGAACAAGGTGAACACATAATTCAAATATAAAGCTTTTCATAACATGCTACTTTAAACACATTTGGGAGAAACTTCTGAGAACCATTTCATTGTATTGAGAATGAAAAGAATATCTAACATTATTTATATCACAAACCCTATTAATGTAGCTGTTTTACAGATAATTCATCAATTAATCTTAGATCATATAGTATTCCTAGAAGCTACATGACCAATTGGAAGTAAGTGACAGAAGATTCAAAGTGATGACTATTCCAGGGAATGTAATGAAGGACTATTGTCCATTAAATGAAAGGTCAAAGTGAAATATCATTTTATAATCTCTATAACAGTGTGATGTGGGGTTTTGGTGATGAAAAATGACTTACACTGTACATGTGGCTTACTGTTTGTTTCTAATGCCTGATAAGTTTCAAAGAATTAGCAATAGTTGACTTGCTTTTCATTGAGAATCCAGCTCTTTTGCATGATTTAGAGGGGCGTCCATCCCTACAGGGAAATATGACCTGGTCTACCTCATTCCAAACTTTCTTTCAGCAAATTTAGCCTAATTAATTCCTTCTTTTAAAATTGTCTAGCAGTGCCTCTCAAGAATATCGATGTATACTTCATAATGATTTCATATCAAGGCTATGCTAGGCAATATAGAAGAACACCTGCCTATTGTACATTATCATCCAATCATGAATTTCATGAAGAGTGTAGATTTTATTTTGTTCACTTTTATCCCCCTATATAAAATTGAACCCTGTCTACGTTCATATAATTTGGCGTTCACATACAATGTATGCTTCAGCAACAAATTGCTTCTCAATCAATTTTGTTAAAGATGTTGGGTCAGAGTTACAGTTGCATTTTTTTTTTTTAATTGGAGATGTTACATACAGTGTGTAGATGTAATTTCGTTAAAAACATGTTTATTAAAACCGGACTTGAAGTTGTAAAAAAGGACTATTCAAATGCTATCTGTATTAACTTTGCTTGCTATGAATTCTTTTTAGCTACATGTCTTTAGATTAAGGTTTTTATATTTTGTTGTTGTTACTATTTAAATATACTTGTACTTGCTTATTTTTTACTTTGTAAAGCGCATATAGAGAAACTTCTGTTTATTATGCGCTCAATAAATCTATCTTTATTATTATTATTATTCATTTAAGTACATTGAATTTAGGTTTTCATAGCACATATTCAGACTTAATGAGCGATTTATTGACCTTTTGGTTTCAGTAGATGATAATATGGTATTTAGCATGAATAACTTCCCACTTCCTTGAATAAAACATAAAAAATAATAATTGCTTCTTGCAATCATAGTTCTCATTACCAATAAATGATTTCCTGTCAAAAATAAATGAAACATCAATTATATTCTGCAATGGAATAAAACATGAAGTTTGAAGCTCCTTGACACTTTGATTATCATGGGAATTATTATCCAAGTAGAATTATGTTCTTTAATTAACCTATTTGTTTATGACATTTTCTGCTAAACTGAATAGAATTTTATTGGATTTATTCATAAAAAGAACATGCAAAGTCAAAGAATACAAAACTTAACTAAAGCTGTAATAATGAGCATTGAATATGGATACACTTCATAATCTAAGGCTAGTATTACCTACTTAATGATTTCATACTTTTTCTGTCTATACACACTCAAAAGTTCAAACCATTATTTCATTGACCATTTCTTGTATCAATCTGTTGTTCACTA